CCGGACTGGGCCGCGCCCCAGCCCCAGCTTACCTGCTGCCTCCCTGTTTCAGGCTTCCCGCGAACATTTGATTCGTGGGAAGCAGGGGAGGGGGAGGAGCAGGGGGCAGAGGGGGCCAGAGTTGGGGTGGGGATTTTGGGGAATGGGCAGGGGCGGGGCTGGGGCCCCGTGGAGTGTCCTCCTTTTTTAAAATTAAAATATGGTAACCCTAGTTTAGTGGTTTGAGCATTGGCCTGCTAAACCCAGGGTTGTGAGCTCAATCCTTGAGGGGGCCATTTAGGGATCTGGGGCAAAATCAGTACTTGGTGCTGCTACTGAAGGCAGGGGGCTGGACTCAATAACCTTTCAGGGTCCCTTCCAGTTCTATGAGATAGGTATATCTCCATCTTATTATTTATTTTTTTAAACCAACCTATAAACCATAGGTTTCAGAGTAGCAGCCGCGTTAGTCTGTATCCGCAAAAAGAACAGGAGTCCTTGTGGCACCTTAGAGACTAACACATTTATTTGAGCATAAGCTTTCGTGGGCTACAGCCCACTTCTTCTATAAACCATAAGAATTCTTGCCCTGCTATTCAGTCCTACAGTGTATGTCAAAACAACCTACAGAAAGGGTCGTGTTCTCGATCAAATGCTGTAGGGTTTTAGAGCAATTTCTTTAGAATCCTGTCACATTTCTATATTCTATAGAACACTGTTCGTTTCAGCAGAGACAACAAGCCACGGTCAGCAAGGTCTTTTCCTTGCAGAGGACTATACCAAGTAATCACAAATAAATGCAAAAGAGCAGGAAAACAAGCAGAAGTGGTTTTGTCTAGTGGATAAGCCACCAGGTTGGGAGTCAGGAGACCTGCATTTTGTTCCCGGCTCTGCTGCATGGCTAATGGCTTCACCCCCTCCTGTTTTCCCCTCCCACCTTTGTCTGTCTTATCTATTAGAGTGTAAACTCCTAGGGTGTGGTCTACACTGCATTGTAAACCCAGGTCTGTGGGATTCAGGCTTGTGGGTATGTCTACATGGCAACCTCCCCTTCCCCCCAATGCAGCAGGGTCCTAGGCCCCAG